ATAATGGATCCAGGGTGTATGAATATCCTAATGTATCATGGGGGTGCTTTTTCAAAGCATGGTGAACTAACATATGATGGAGGCAATATAACACTTTCCAAAAATTGAGATGGACAAAATGTCCTACTACAGTTTAGTGTAGCTGGCTAAAACTGTGGGCTTCGAAGAAGGCGATACTCTCTACTATGTCATTCCTGGCCGTAGCCTTGATGACGCTGGTATTGACCACCTCAAAGATGATGCTTCTGTTTGTGACATGATGAAGTATTCGAATCAGGCCAAGTTTCTAGAGGTTTACATTAAGCATAATGAAAATGTTGTTAGCGCCTATCCAATTTGTGATGACGCAGCCCAACAAGTCAACACTGACGATGTATTATTTATGCTTCAGTGTACCTAATCTTGTCATGCATATTTTAATTAATTGTGGTTTGCGAACTGTTTGATTGTGTGTATATGTTTGCCAGTGGATGCCTTATTTTGCTCCTATGTGTTTTAAGTGTAGCGAACCCAAACTTGAAGCTATTATTAATTTCAAATTTTATTTCACAGAAATGGCCCATCCTCCAGCAAAGAGAGACATCCTAGTCTTATGCCAACAAATGGGACGTCGTAGAATAAGGCTTCTGATGGCATTACATGTGCTAGTACTGCATTGCCTCCTATTGATTAGAAAGCGTCAGATTAGGCTAATTAGGGAACCTTGTAGGTTTGACCCAGAAAGTCGATCAAAGAATTTGAATGATATCATCTATGAAAGTGACATCCTGTGTGTTGAGCAACTGCGGATGGATAGGTGGTGTTTTTGGACTTTGTGTAATTTGGTCACAGATATTGGGGGATTAAGGGATACTAGAAATGTCAAGGTGGAGGAGATGGTTGCAATGTTTCTACATATACTAGCTTACGACAAGAAAAGTCGCTCCATGAGGACAGATTATCAACGGTCTCAAGAGACGATAAGTCGGCACTTTAATAATGTACGAGGAGAGTGCTAAAGCTTTGGAGGGTGCTGCTTAAGAGCCCACAACCAATCACAGACAACTGTAAGGACGAAAGATGGAAATGGTTTAAGGTAAAACTAAATTAAATAACAAACAGTTGAAAGGTCCTTATTTGGTTTTGGTAATTGAGTGACAACCTAGGTGGACTAATTGTGTTTATGTGAGATACACAGGTGATTAGTCCACAGGTACATGTGTGTGAGCAACATATGCCTTAGAAGTGAAAATGGCTCGGAGATGTTGCAAAGCTCACACATGTGATGATGAAAGAGCTCATTGCACATGAGACATGACATTGAGTCATGTGATCAAGGTGGAGAAGATCAAGACATGACTTGGCTTGATGGACCGGTTGCAAGCCTGAAGGGCAAGTTGGAGGCTTTGGAGCGATGGACCGCGTGGCGGTGAAGCTTGAGCAAGACTTGGCGTCGATGGACGAAGGCAACGGTGAAAAGCAAGTGAAGTCAAGATCGATGAACCAATATGATCACGTGATGATATGAAGTGGATCATATCATTGTTGATCGTGTTGGTACATATGTTGCATTGACATTAGAGGAGATGGAATGGAATGCGCAAGGCAAAGGTATAACCTAGGGCATTTCATTTCACCGGTCATAGGTGTGTAAAGAAGTTGATGACCGGGTTTAGGATAGATGGCTGTACTATCAAGAGGGGTAAACTTGTTTGCATATTGGTCATCTAGTGCCACTCGAGTGATCTAACTTTGCATCATCGCTAGGATCGAGTGGCGTGGCAAGTTGAGTGGCTAATCCTTTGGAAAATGTTTGTGAAAAAGCTAACACACATACACATGGTGGTGTACACTTGGTAGTGTTGGCACATTTGCAAAGGAGAAGAAGCTGGTGAAGAAAAGGAGTTGAATGCGCTGGTCACTGGGTGACCGGACGCGTCCGGTATTCTCGACATGACCGGCCGCGTCCGATATCGATACCGGACGCGTCCGGTATTCTGTCCAGGCGCAGGCAGAGTTGTCGAGGTGACCGAACTCTGGCTCAGTGGAGTGACCGAACGCTGATGAGTTACTATTCAGTGTCAGGTCAAAGTGATATAGCCTGATATAGGATTGTAGAGAGCGACCGGACTCGGGTTTTCAACGGAATAATTGATCGGACATTGGGAGCGTCCGGTCCGGTGTGACCGGACGCGTCCGGTCGGCCTAGAGCAGCTCTGGGAGCTCTCTAGACTCGACCGGACGCTGCGTCTCCCACGTCCAGTCCAGTGTGACCGGACGCGTCCGGTCGCAGTTGAGCGGCTCTAGGAGCTATTGGACTCGACCGGACGCTGCCCCTTCTGCGTCCGGTCGGCCACATCGGACGTGTCCGATCGTAGTTGGGCGGCAATGGCTATTTCGTTTGAATGGGACATGTGGCGGTCAAGTAGTGACCGGATGCAGCGATCGGACGCGTTCGGTCGCCACACCGGACGCGTCCGGTGCACACGACCTACGCGTCTGGTCGTCCCAAAAAATGCCCAATGAAGGGGTAACGACTATTTTAGCCTGTGGGGCTATAAATAGAAGTGTTGGTCGGCCTTTGGCCGGAAGCTTGGAAGAGTTGAGCACACTAGAGCCTTGGTGGCTTATGTGGTAGTGCTTGAGAGCCCTCTAACTCACTCTAGCTTGATAGTGTTCATCCGATTGAGTGAGTGAGTGATTCAGTGTGATTGCATCGTGAGGTTGCATCAAGTGGCACTAGGTGGTCGTCTTGTAAGCCGGTGGTGCTTGTTACTCTTGGAGGTTGCCACCTCCTTGATGGCTTGGTGGTGGTCTCCGTCGAAGCCCACAAGAAGCTTGTGCGGTGCTCCGGAGAAGAGCTTTGTGAGGGACATTGTGCTCGCCCCACGGGAGCCGCGAAGAGCAACTCTAGTTGAGCGTTTCATTGAGCTACCCTCACTTTTGCGGTAGTTTCTTGCGGTGCCCGACGTGCGGGCTTGGCGGGTGATGCTAATTAGCCGCCGAACCACCAAGTGAGCGGTCGACACAATAGGGACATAGCGTGTTGGCAAGCACGTGAACCTCGGGAGAAAATCACCATGTCAATATTGTTCTTCCTGTTGGTTTGCAATCCCCTTACACAAGCTTGTAATTACTTTCATATACATTGTGCTTGTGTTGCTCTTGTAATTAGTTAGCTTGTGTAGCTCACTAGTTACCTTCTTCCTTGTGTAGCATAGAAGTAGCTCCCTTGCATGGCTAATTTGGTTTGTGTAACCTTGTTAGTCACATTGCTTAGTTTGTGTAGCTAAGTATTTGCGCTCTCTAATTTGGCATTGGTTGCCTTGTTATGGAGCATTGCTAGTGAGCTTAGGAGTTTTGTGCTTTTGCTTACTAGAATTGTGTAGGAGCTCCCCGATGTGCAAAATACTAGTGGCATAGGTTTGTGTGACCTTGCTCCTAGAATTGGATAGGTGAGCTTTAGCTAGCTTGGCACTTTAGTTGCTTAATTAGGATCTTTGCAAGGTGCTAGAGAACATAGATAGAGGGGTGTAGTCTTGGCTAGACCAATTGTTTTAATTCCGTATTTGTTTTGGTTAGCCGGCGTGATTAAATTTAGAAATGACTATTCACTCTCCTCTAGTCCGCCATCTCGACCCTACAACAGCCCTATAATTTTTTTCCAGACTAACAAGATATTTGTTTTTGTTTTCATAGAATTGTTTAGGTGCTTTAGATGGTACATATATAAAAGTTAGAGTCCATGTAGTTGATAAACCAAGGTATCGATCCAGAAAGAATGAAATTGCCACAAATGTTCTAGGTGCTTGTGCACCTGACATGCAATTCATATATGTATTAGCTGGTTGGGAAGGGTCTGCTGCCGATGCTAGGGTTCTCCGAGATGCTTTGGCTAGGCCAAATTGTCTCAACGTTCCTCGTGGTGAGCAATATTAGTTAAGTATAGACTACTGTCCATATACACCTACTAAAGCTTAGAAAATAAATTGTGCTTTCTGTAACGTAGGCTTCTATTATCTTGTGGATGCTGGGTACAAGAATTGTGATGGATTTCTCGCTCCATATAGAGGACAACGTTACCACCTAAAAGAATGGAGCAACCCACCTACAAAAAAAGAGGAATTGTTTAATATGAGGCACTCTTCAGCAAGGAATGTGATAGAAAGAACCTTTGGTTTACTGAAGCTACGTTGGGGACTTGGGGTATAATTAGAAATGGTTCTTATTACCCAATAGATACCCAAATTGGTATAATCCTAGCCTGTTGCTATCTGCACAATCTCATCCGACAACAAATGAGTGCTGATCCATTTGAGCCACAAGTTAATGCTTTCTTAGAGCATGAAGGCAACACCTTAGGTGTGATTGACCATACTAAATCGTCAACTGAGTGGACGGAATTTAGAGATGTTTTAGCAAGTATGATGTGGGATGCATGGAAAGCAAAATGTCGCCGATAACTTGGCATTATAATGCTTTGCATGGATTTTGTAGCTTACTCTATTGTTCTATAATTTTGAACATTGTGAAAAATGGTGGTGTGGACTGAACTTGATGCTTGGTTAATGAACTGATGACTATGGCTTGTGTATCGACGCATCTCATTTTTTGTAATGTTTTACTTGGTACCCTGTGTTTGTATTCAATGCAATTTTCATTTCATGCACTAATCATTTGTATACATCTTCGGATTTTTTTGGTATGAAATAGACATACAAGGGACGCAAAACTATAAAGGTAAGTAAGAGGAGAGACAAGAGACAGTGGACTGTACAAGAGGAAAAGGTACTTGTTGATGTATTGTATGAAATGAATGACTCTGGTTGGAAGGTGGACACAGTCACAAGTCTGGGTACCTTCAGTTTATTGAGAAAGAGCTCTCTACAAGACTCCCAAATGCTAATATCAAAGCTGATCCTCATGTTGCTTCTAAAGTGAAGACACTTAAGAAGCTATTGTCCTATATATTGGATATTCAATAATCTGGTAGTGGATTTGGCTGGGATGATGAAAGAAAAATGGTTGTTAGAGACAAAGAGCAATTCATGGGTTGGGCAAAGGTATACAAGGACATGCACATGTACCATACTTTTTTTCTAATCACATTTATTTTTGCTAATAGCATAATATGTATGCAGAGTCACCCTAGAGCAGTAGCTTTGTATGGGAAGCCCTTTGTGAATTTTGATAAGCTATTTGAGGTTTATGCTAGTGACTTAGCAAAAGGAGTGAAGGCCAAAGACCTTGGAGATCAGTTTGAAATGCATGAAGAACTATCCTTAGGAAATGTGACTGAAGCAACCCACCAGTTCAAAATGCAGTTGACTCCCATTCAAACCATCATCCCATGGTAGCATCCCAGCAAGTGGAATTAAATCTGCAGCCTGCCGTAAGAGGGTATTTGTAGATGATGGCATGGTTGCATCGGAGTTCTCTAATATTTCTAAAGCACTCATTAGTCTTATGCAAGTTGAAGCAGCCAATGCAGAGGCTATGAATGCACTACAGTGTGCATTCACCCAGGAACTTGAGGCTCAAAAGCCGACCACTGAAAGGAGGGAGAAATTGTTCACCGTGCTCACAAAGTTTACTGAGTTTACTTCAGATCAAATCGTGAAGCCTGCTCTAATAATTGGTCAGAATGAGGAAAGTTTGAATCTTTTTGTAACACCCGGTCTTATAAATAAAACCGCGTAGTGAATATATGTGGGCCTAGGAAGTCCTAATCCACATATACATACAAATTGAGTGATATCATAGCACGAACAATGATTATAACTGAAAGCATCTAGGCCCCTAAGTGGATTTCGATGATTAATGTCAATACAAGATTACTATGACTAACGTGTGTTTTGCAGAGGCAATTAAGTTAGGTCATGGTAATGGAGATCGATTGGGCAATTGAGGTTGTCATGCCCCTACGATGGAAATCGTTTCGGTTTTCAAAGGATGGACGACAAGGTTAAGGATAACTAGTTCTAAGTGTCAATTGAAGTTGGAGAGACACTTAGAGTAGTTTAGGACTTTGTTTTTCCTTTGGCCGCATACTATGAAGGGGGTATGAACGGGGGTAGCTTGACCTAGTTGAGTCTAGTGAGTTAGGTGTGGTGCACACTTGTTAAAACTAGCTCTAGGTAGCTCCTATGAATGCCTAAGATCCTTTGGAGCAAACTTCATTCACATTTGATCGAGAGTTGAAGTGAATAGAGGGTCAAATCTTTGACCGGACGGCGGCTCGGGTCTTGACCGGACGCCATTGCAGGTCCGATCAGTTCATTTGACTGAGGAGAACAAGTCTGGAGTGACCGGACGCTGGAAGGTCATGTGACTGGACAATGGGGGCCAGCGTCCGGTCGACTCCAGTAAGGGTCCAGACTTGAGAAAATGTGACCGAACGCGTCCGGTCAGTGGTGACCGGACCCTGCGTATCCAGCGTCCGGTCGATTACAGTAAGCATCCAAGAGCGACCGAACCCTAACAGTGTCCGGTCATCACTTGGAAACTGTTGTGCGGGTTGAACTGACCGGAGCGTCCGGTCAATACGATCGGAGCGTCCGGTCATCCCGCAGAAGCTCATAACGGTTCGTTTTTCAGGCTGCCTTATAAATAGAAGCTCCACTCGTGTGTGGAGTGACTTTTGCTCATTCCAACAGCTGAGAAACACGTTTGTGAGTGCCAAGAAGAGCAAGGTCCTAGTGAGGTGTTTGTGATTTGAGAATCAAAGAGTGAAACCTCATTAGTGAATCAAGAGTAGACAAGTGTGCATCCATCTTCTCATTAGGCTTCGCGTGGTCAAGTGAGAGTTCGTGCTTGTTACTCTTGGTGATCGCCATCATCTAGACGGCTTCAGTGGTGATTGGGAGCTTGGTGATCACCCTATGAGCTTGTGGGTGACCCAACTCAAGTTGTGAGCGGTTTTGGGTGATTCGCCGCACGACGGAGTGTCAAGAATCAACCCAGAGAGAGCACTTGATCCTTGCGCGGATCAAGGGGAGCTACACCCTTGCGCTGTGGTGCTCCAACGAGGACTAGTGGAGAGTGGCGACTCTCCGATACCTCGGCAAAACATCGCCGCGTTCCTCTCTCCATTTACTTTGAGCATTTACTTTAAGTATTTACTTTGAGCAATTCAATACTGTCTTTACATTCATAGAATTGCTATGCTAGAGTAAGTTTGGAACATAGGTTGCAAGTTGTGCGTTGATTTGATAGAAACACTTTGTCTAGGCACAAGGGGTTAATTGGGCTATCCGTAGGATTTGATTATTGCAAGAAAATTTAGAATTAGCCCAATTCACCCCCCCTCTTGGGCATCTTGATCCTTTCAATTGGTATCGGAGCCTCGTGCTCACGTTTTTAAGCCTAACCGCTTAGAGCAAGATGTCTCACGGGGATGGACCTCCTCCTATCTTCGAGGGAGATGATTTTCCATATTGGAAAATTCGCATGGAGGCTTACCTAGAAGCTCTAGATGTTGGAATTCTTAGAGCCGCCTCTCAAGGGTTCCCAACACCTAAGAATGCCGCACAACTTCAAGGCGATGAAGTAAACTATGAAAAATGGAATGCAAAGGCTCGCAACACCATCTTTAGAGGCCTTTGCAAAGATGTGTTTAATCGTGTAAGGAACCACAAAGACGCCCATGCACTATGGTCGGACGTTTGTGCGCTCCATGAGGGAACCAAGAGTGAGCGTGAGGAACGCTATCATCTTGTAATTAAAAAGCTAAATTCTTTTGAGATGCTTCCCAAAGAAAGTGCTAATGAAATGTATTCTCGTTTAAATGTTCTTGTAGAGGAAGTCAATGGGCTTGGACTTACTCAAATGTCACCATCCGACGTTGTGAGAAAGATCTTGAGTGTCCTCCCCATTGACAAATATGGGCACATTGTGACCGTGCTACATCAAGGTGATCTTTCCGCCGCTACACCGACACAAATCTTGGGAAAGATCAATGCTCATGAGATGTATATGCACATCACACCTCAAGATGGCTCATCCTCTACAAAGAAGAAAGAGAAAGACTTAGCATTCAAAGCTAGCCAAGATAAGGGCAAGGCAAGACTTGAGTATGAGAGCTCAAGTGATGAAGATGATGAAGAAAGTCTTGCTCTCATGGTGAAGAAGACCGCCAAGATGCTAAAGAAGCTAAACAAGAGTGGCATCAAGTTTGACGGCAAGAAGAAGAAGTTCTTCACTAGCTCAAGAAGAAAGCCAATCTCCGAGATGGATTGCTATAATTGCGGCGAACTTGGCCACCTAGCTCATCAATGCACAAAGCCCAAGAAAGACAAGTTCAAGAACAAGGGCAAGAAAGATGATTCAAGTGATGAAGATGAAAAGAAAAAGAACAAGTCATACAAGAAGAGAGATGGCAAAAAGAGAGACTTCTACAAGAAGAAGAAGAGTGGCAAGGCCTATATTGTCGGTGATTGGCTCACGGACATTGATTCATCAAGCGGATCATCCGATGATGAGAGTGACAATGAGAAGGTGGCCGCCATTGCTATTGATCTTGCATCCTCACATACCACCATCGCTATCATCCTCTACACACCTATACCTTATGGCCAAGGGTGAGAATAAAGGTAACTAAAAGTGATGATAGTAGTGATGATGAGCAAGCTAGTGATGATGATAGCGATAGCGATGATGATTCACCCACATATGATGATCTTGTCAAAATATTAAGAAAATACACTAAGATCATTAGAAAGAGTAGAGCTACAAATGAAAAACTTGATGGTAAAAATGATTCACTCTTAGCTAAGTGTGATACATTAGAAAAGACTAATGATGAGCTCAAATAAACAAATGATTCTATATCATCCAAACTCAAGGAGCTCAAATCTTCTAAGAAAGAGCTTAAAGATAAACATGATAAACTTGAGTGGGTGCACAATGAGCTTATCACTAGTCATAACAAGCTAAAAGATGAATATACAACTCTAAAGATCAATTATGATACCCTTGTTATTGCACAAGAATTCTTACCAAATGAGCCACATGTTGCTACTAACCATGTTGTTAAGATTGATATAGCTACCTCATGTGATGATTTAATTGATGAGAGCATTGAGCATGGATCTAGTAGCAAAGGCAAGCAAGTGGTTGAGTGCAATGACTATGATGAGTATGTCAAGCTCAAGAGTGACAATGAGAAGCTCATGAAAGATCTTGAAGAGATGAAAAGTCACAACACCATTGTGATAGAAACTCTTGATCATGACAAAGAGTTGATCCTTGAGAATGAGAAGCTAAAAAAAGAAAACAAGAAACTCAAGGAAGAGAAGAACAATGATATTCTCAAGGAAGAGAACAAGAAGCTCAAGATGGAGAAAGAGCATCTCAAGGTGGGATTGAGCAAGTTTGCTAGAGGCAAGCATCTCCAAAGTGAGCTACTCATGAATACCGTCATGAAGATGAATAGAAGTGGCATTGGATATATGGCAAGTGTAGAGAAGAAGAAGGCTCAAGCTCAACATCAACAATCAAAGCCAAAGCTAAAGCCAAAGAGATGTTTTGAGTGTGGACAAGAAGGCCACTTTGCTCATGAGTGTCAAACTTCACCACCACAACCCTTGCCCAAGCATGCTAGACCCTTTGCTTTCAATGCTCACTACATGCTTAGAAAAGATTCTAGTGGAAAGATGAAAGTCATGTTCTTAGGACCCCCCAACAAGAGTAGGCCTAAGAAGATTTGGGTGGCTAAGTCACTTGTTGAGAAGGTGAAGGACCCTCAACAAGTTTGGATCCCTAAAGCTTGAATCTCTTGTGTGTAGGTGAACTACAAGACCGGTGGAAGTCATTGGGTTATTGATAGTGGTTGTACTCAACATATGACCGGTGATCCTCGTATGGTCACCTCACTAGATGAAGAGGTAGATGGACAAGAGAAAATAACATTTGGAGATAATTCAAAGGGCAAGGTTAAAGGATTGGGCAAAGTGGCAATATCAAATGATCATTCCATCTCAAATGTGCTCTATGTTGCTTCATTGAGCTTCAACTTGCTATCCATTGGGCAATTGTGTGATCTTGGCTTTCAATGCTTATTCACCGAGAAGGAGGTTGTTGTATCCAAGGTAGATGACAATCAAGTGATATTTTCAATGGATTTAGATACAACAACTTATATCTAGTTGACTTCACCTCCAAAGATGCAAACTTGATGACTTGCCTATTCACCAAAACAACACTTGGGTGGCTATGGCATAGAAGACTTGCTCATGTTGGGATGAGCTCACTCAAGAAGCTTATGAAGAGTGATTTGGTGAGAGGATTGAAGGATGTGAAGTTTGAGAAGGACAAGCTTTGTAGTGCATGCCAAGCCGGCAAGCAAGTTGCAAACACT